ACCTCTGAGGCAAGCAAATGCTTCCCTCTTCTCCTCCCCCCCCCTTCTCCCCTAAAAAACAAAGTTGAAGGAGGGGAAGAGGTAGAGACTGTGTGCAGCAGGATCTAAGGGGGAGTGTGGAGAAGAGGAGGGGCCTCGTGAGGAGAGGTGAGACATAGGTGGCAGGCAGTAGGGGCCTTGTGGAAGAGGGAGGTAGAGAGGAGGAGGGAGTTGGCAAGCAGTGGGTGGGGGCCAAAGGGAGGGGCAGCATAAGAGTGGGGAATAGGCAGGATATCGGTGGAAGAGGTAATGTAGGGCTGGCTGTCTGTGCAAAGCCCTGGTCTGGGCACTAGGAAAGCTTCCAGCAGTTGGGCCAAATGCAGGAAGCATGCCACTCTCCATGGAGGATATTCTGAATTTTGTTCCAATCTGCTCTGTTTGGCAAAACTAACTAGTCATTTTTTAGTCCATTTCCCTCTCAAGAGTGTTTTAGTCCTTCGTTTTTCAAATGCTACAGAGAAACAGAAAAATCTGATTCCACTGAAATTGTTTATGTTACCTTAAGGTTTTCTTCCTGGGAAGATTTTGAAGAGGAGCATGGTAAAGGGAGAGAATTTGGCTATGCAAGTCTTCACAAAGAACTTGAGCCATTTCTGTTACGAAGGGTTAAGAAAGATGTAGAAAAATCTTTACCTGCCAAGGTTGAACAGATTTTGAGAATGGAGATGAGTGCATTGCAGAAGCAATATTACAAGTAAGTAGGAAAGTATGAAATAGACACACACCAAAAAACCCACCACCTGCTTCCTGTATAAGTGTGATTGTCCTATTTTATGGAGTCTTTTCATGATACTAACTTCTAAACAGATATTTTTTAGCATGTAATAAAGACTTGTAAAATCCTGGCCTTGTTTAACCCCTGAGACTTTTGTCTTGAATGGATTTCACTTTTATGGGCTCTGCTTTTAAGATTTATTTTATTGGAACTCATATTCATTTCCTTTCAGTCGGTTTGTTTTATGAGATACTTGCAAGTTTTATGTTTGGAGTTTCATTTTGTTTCATGCAGTTACTATGCGATTTTATAGCTGCCTGCCACCTTTTGTCTCCTCTTTGCCCCCCTCTGCCCCCCCGATACCCCAATGTGGTTAAAAATTACACTGCATATTCTATATCATAGGTGGATTTTAACCAGGAATTACAAAGCCCTCAGTAAAGGTTCAAAGGGCAGTACCTCAGGCTTTTTGAACATCATGATGGAACTTAAGAAGTGTTGTAACCATTGCTACCTCATTAAACCACCAGATGATAATGAATTCTATAATAAACAAGAGGCCTTACAGGTAAAGATACTTTTTTAATAAAACTGTTCACTTCAGTTTATTTTATTTTTTTAAATATGCACAAAAATAGTTTATACAGTATTTAGCTATCAATTGTCCTATTGAAGCATACTATGTAAAGTGAAGACTTGAACTTGTGATGTATATTTTGTATTACTGATATGTGATTGAATTGATTTTTGTTTCCTAGTTTCCATTTTGTGTCATGATTAATATAGTGATCTATCCTTATTTTTGAATAAAAGTATAGCAGATTGATTTAATTAAAAGGTAAGTAGACTTGATTGGGTTGAAAATTTGAGACTGTATTTTGAATAAAAGGAAAACTTGACTGATTTTTAATAGGGATGTGAAAATGTAACTGTACATGGTTACATGCAGGCTTCCAATCCACAGTTGCTCTTACTGAGCCCTTTTCCGCCTCCTTACATGTAACCATGTAACCACTGACATTTTCAGCGGTTACACATTTACTTCATTAAACACATTTTAACATTCCTAATTTTAAAATCAATCTGAAATAGAACAAATGAAAAGGCCAAGATACTACTGTAATGACTGCTTTCTAATGCAGTTTAAGTATAAACTTACATGAGTTATAGTGAAGTAGACGACAGAATAACTGATGACAAATATAGCCTGCTAAACAATTAATACACTACTCCTTTGCTATAATGAAACCTTAAGGGTTCTAGCTATTTGGTTGTTC